ACTTTGATAGAATATTTTTTTTTTCTTTTCTATTGTTAGTCTTACTCCAACTTATCAAACGTTTGGCCTGTAACTTTACTTTTTTTTTTGCTATTGTCTGTTTGCTGTTTTTGCTCATCTCATGCTATTTATATCTCCATTACTTAATCATCTGCCTGCCTTTTATATTCTCAACATCACTGTATTGCATGCGATATTCGATAGTCTCAACATCAATGAATTATTAACAAAACTTACAATCATCTGCTTTTAATTCTTACTATAACGAAAACTTAACAATAATAAAATATTCAGTCACAAAAAGAAATTGATTAATAGTATCTAAACTAAACAGTATTATATCATGACATGTAGCATTAGTTAATAAATATATTTGTAATGCTATTTTCAGATTTTGCTGAAGATGGAATAAGTGTAATCCAAAATGTTAGAACCCTGCAAATAAAACTGTTTTGTGATTTGTCAATCATCTTGATTTTTATTAGTAGACTTTTGCAAGTGGTTTAAGTTATAAAAGTGTGTGTGACAGGATGGTCATGATCCTTGAAAAATCTCAATGTTAGGGAATTTGAAAAAAAAGTAAAGTCCACAAAAAACTCTAAGACTCCCTCATTTTTTTAAATCTCAAACTTGCATGTAAACCATTCTGCGCATATATGCCAACTATTGGTACATTTTAAAAATCTTAGTCAACCACACGTTATTTTATCAATTGTAATTATCTAATCCATTAAACGCAATGATAAAATAGATCAAATATTCTTACATATATAAAGTGTAACATTTTGCTTGTCACCAATTTATTACAAAGACCGTGCTTAAAGATATTTCAGTTTATTATACTATAGAAAAATATTTTTTTAGCACATTTATGATGATATTACACATTAAAGTGGTGTTAATTAAGTAGAAGTATTAAAAAAAATAAAAATGTCTGTTATATGTGTTTGAACAGATATGAAAAATCAGGAATTTATAAATGAACCTAGTCACTCTGAATAACTATTAGGTCATCATTTTATCATATATTAAGCATTTATTTATTTCTATTTTCATTGTGCAAGTTAGGGGTTAATAATTCAAATACCTTTAATCATTTTACACTGTGGGTTTCTCATATTGATATAATATATATTCTTGTCTTTTATTGTAAACAATCGTAATTGGAATCTTAACACATCAGATCCCTTGAAGGCTGTAAATAATGAGAACACTTTAGGCTTTTGTTTTCCTAACTATTGCATTTAAAATAATTACTTTTAACTCACTTGTTATGAAAAGTAAATTAAATATTAAATCACCAAATAAACAAAATAATAACACTTGCACTAAACACTCGTGTATATCCAACACGCACTAAGGAACGTAATCATCAATGACTTAATTCCAAAAGTACACTAAATATGTGATAGGTATTTTAACACATCAGATCCCTTGTAAATAATGAGAACACACTGTCAGGGTTTTAAATATGAGTGGGCTAAGGATTCTTCTACAGTAGGTGTCTGTGACTTGTTGATGATAAATATCAACAATAGATAGACAGCACACACTCCAATTGTTTTAAAATAATATATTCAAAACAAGTCGATTGTATGTGCAAAACATCTTTACACTATAGGATATCACAGTTGTATCTAAAAACTTAAATAATTCTCTTTTCTTGTCAAAGTCCACTTCGGCTGACTAAATTACTTTAGAATCCAATTGACAGAATGAACTAAGGAAAATGATGTGTGTGTTGTATGGAGTACCTGTATTGTATCATAGTTTTATTACTTGTTTGTTTTTTAAATAGAAAATATTCTAACTTTAACAAAAGGACATTCAATCATGTAAAACAGAAATTTAGGCTTTTGGAGTAACATTATAGTAAAAAGTGAAAGTTTTTATCATAATTAATAAATGAAAAATTGATACATTTGTAAAATATACTTACTATTAAAATGCATTTTTTGTTTTGTAAAACATTTCAAAATTATATGTTGAGAAAGTATAAACTGATATTCTTGTGATTGTTTCATGATTAATTGTTGTATCCAATATTTTCGTTAAAGTTAACTTCTTAACTTATCTGTAGTATTAATATTTTTTATTATCTCACTCTTATTAGACTATTTTTGTGTTTCAAACTTTGATAATTAAACTTTCCACTTATCAAAAAATCCCGTTTCCCTGTTTATATGTTTACTTTTTTTTTCTAATCAGAACCGATTAATATCACGCAAAGCAAGGAAGTGACTGCATTTGTGGGCTCCAACATCGAATTCTCTTGCCCAATCACAGGATCACCACAGCCACAGACAGACTGGACTAAGGATGGACAACCTCTTCCAAGAAATGCAAGAGTGGTAAAGAATAAGGTCTGGTACGTATTAACAGTAAAGTTTAATTGCCTTCCACTTTCGTTAAATGAAGTGTTGAAGAATTAGATCTAGTAGATATTAAATCATAGCACAATCCTACTAAATTATTTTCTACTTCCAAGAAATGCTAGTGATGAAGAACAAGATCTGGTAAGTATTAAATCATATCACAAACCCATTAAATTATATTCCACTTCCCAAATGCTAGTGGTCAAGACCGTGATTTAACAGGTATTAAATCATATCACAAACCTTTTAAGTTATATTCCACTTCCAAGAAATACTTGAATGGTTAAAAAAATCTGGTAAAGTGAAGTCACAAGCTTGTAAATTATTCTTTACTTCCCAGACTTCTTTGAGTGCTAAAGAATATAATTGAACATAAGTTATTAACTGACATCACTATCTTCATCAATGTAATGATATCCTAATTTCTTAGGATTTTTAGATTGAATAATAATTACTTTAATATGAATTGTTTTTCATCTAAACTTGAACTTTTAAGATATTTAATGCTTCTAGCTGTTGTCATTATCTTATTTCTTAACTATATATTTCAAACTATTGCATTATTCTTAAATCTAAGAATTGAGATTCCAGCCTGTGTTCCTAATTTCAGATTAGTTGTTGTTTTTATTATGTAATTAAAAAACATTATTATAAATGTATAGTAATATACTTGACATCAAAACATAGGTCATAATTTAAATTTTTATATCATCTGAACTTTAATTTCTTAATTTCGAAAGTTAATGTTTAAAAAATTCTCAATCTCCTCTTCCATGTGTCATGTAATACATCTGTGATCTGTATTTTCCCATATAGACGTTATATCTTCCCTAATATGGCTTTCAGCATTTCTAACCACTTAAAATCACAAACTGTACATAATTACTCAATCTTCTCATCCCTGTGTCATGTAATTCTATATGGGAAAATACAGATCACAGATGTTGTTATATCTTCCCTAATATGGCTTTCAGTATTTCTAACCACTTAAAATCACAAAATGTACATAATTACTCAGTCAGCTCATCCCTGTGTCATGTAATACATCTGTGATCTGTATTTTCCCATATAGACGTTATATCTTCCCTAGTATGGCTTTCAGCATTTCTGACCACTTAAAATCACAAACTGTACATAATTACAACCAATATATATATATATATAATTTCAACCTGGTATATCTTTGATTTACTGAGATATCAAACTTACCAGAGAAGCTCCACCTATCTTTTCATAGTTTCAAGGCAGTTTTTTAACCATGTATTCTTATCTTACTATTCTAATGCCACAAATAATTGCTACACTTAGAAAAGTCCTACACGTCAAGTCCACCCAAGGTATTAGAGACTTCAACTAGTACTGATAATACAAATAATACTATACCTGTGATATCATTAGCTGCTGAAAAGAGGTATCCTTAAGGGATAGAAGAGCTCCCAAGAAAAATCTCTAAGTTGATATAACAGACTTGAAATTGAACTGTAGTTTATTGCTTGGAATAATGTTGTTACTAAAACAATTGATTGAAAGTTCTAGTCAAAATTTGTAGAGACTGATTTCATGGAGAAAAGTCTTTATTTAAGTTAAATCAGTTGTATCTGATCTTTCTTCAAGTTAAATCAGTTGTATCTAGTATTTTAAAATATCCATCAATCTAGTAACAGTACATGAAAATTCTGTATTTACCAAGGACTTTACTTGAGCCATAGTAAAAGGTTATTTCATATTAAAAAAAGAACTTTTCTTTTTATAGTTTTTATATTTCATTTACTTAACATCTAGAACCTCCTGTATGAATATCAGAAGTTCTTTTTGATAAACCCTGTATAATCTATCCATTATTTTTTGTACCTAACACTAACTCTAGTGAATAAGTAAAATGTAAACTTTGTTTCTCGTTGAATTTTTTTAAAGTCGTTCAGGGTAATCAGTGTCTAATTATCAAAATTATAAATAAATATAAGTTGCAAAGTTTGTTTTTACTAAATGGTTTTGCTTGCACTCATCTATGTAAAAATCATGTGGGTTAATAGTGGCAGTGAATGCCCTATTCACAAGCTATACTTAAAAAGTAATTAAGTTTGTCATAGTTGATCAAAAATTGTTTTTCACTAGTTTTATCTTACTTGAAGCTCATCTTCAACTTCAATGACTGGGAATGTAATGCAACTTTATAGGCTTGTATGTTAATTCAAGTCTTGTTGACAAGTGAAGAAAGAATAAGAACTTAATAGGTCGGGAAAGGTTAAGCAGCATAGAATGCAACACAATAAAAAAAAAACTACTTCATTGGATTTGGGAAAGTCTGTGTGAATAGGTAAAATTTAAACTTTGTTGAATTTTTGAAAGGCTGAACTAATGCTGAAATGTCATTTAGGGTAATCAGTTTCATGGGCTAAGTAACAAAAAATTTAAAATTATATATAACAACGAGTCACAAAGTTTGTTTTTACCAAATGATTTTGGTTTAAGTAAAAACAAACTCATTACTATATTCAATTCCAGTTGGATTTTCAAAATTCCTCAAGTGCAAATAATAAAATAGCCTTTCTATAAAATCTAAGCTACGAATTAAATTAAAAACCATTCAATGATAAAGAAGAATTCAATATGTAACTTCTTATCAAATAATTTTGCATTTGCTAAAGCAACTATTGCACTAGTCAACAATATTTTAAAGTTTAAAAGTATCATAGATAACAATGCAGTGTGAAATTTCATTTCACTAAGTTATGGTTTTTCATTCAGTAAACTACATGAATCATGTCGTAAACAATTAAAATTAGGTTCTTGATTCTCATTGTATGTTTAAAAACCTGAAAGCAGAGATTTTACTGAATTATTTTGTGGTAGCCAAATTTTGTAAAATGACCAACTTGATTTAGGGATGCTTCACCCTTTATGTTTGAATACTTTAGTGAAAACAAAATGAAGAGTAATATTAAACTTCAAAGAAAACGTTTACACAAATTTTTTTTTTAAGAACATTAAAAATATAGGTGATCCTTTTATTTGTGTTTTTTTTTCTTTGAAGTATTATTTATTATTTTTTGAACTTTATGTTCACTGCTCTTCTGTGGTTAAATTGTACTTGCAAAATAGAAAGTAATTGTTTTGTTTTCAAGGCTTTAAAAGTAAAGCATTAAGTATATAGTAGTACACAATTTAGTAAACGTCAGTATTAGATACATAAATTAACATCTGTATTTCAAGTACTAATTTAATTTAAATGCAAATTTGAATTTTTTAAATATAGGTTTCTTTTGTTGGTGGCAGATACTTGTGTGATTTCAGTGAATACTTTTTATAGTCAAATGTTGAACAAACTTGGGCACAAAAGTAATAAATATACAGAATTTTGTATGTAACATTTTTGAAATACCCGCATGCTTCAAAATTCATATTTCTCCTTAATCTCACATTTTTCATTTTTTTTAACAAATTCCAAGTACAATTGGTAGTTATAAAAAATAATATCAGTTCTTTTCAGATTTAACTACTAGACTTTTCCAAGTATATGCATTATAGACAAAATAATTTAAATTGAAAAATGAAGACTTGTAAAAAAAATTATGAGTAGTATTTGTAGTTTTTATATATATATATATAAACTATGGGATTTAGAAACCCAGTGAATTGCAGTAGTTAATGATAAGATACATGTTGTTTTGCTATTTTCCTTATCTAGTTTAATCTTTAAGAAAAACTTTATTAAAAGATATTTTACATACTGATAACTTGAATGAAGTTTTCTATTAATTTATAGACAAAGAATTTTTTATCCAAAAACAATTACAGCTATGTTAAAATTATATATGAAAAAATAAATGTTTTTAATGCCGAATAAACAAATCATCCTTTTTATGTGTTTTTTTTTTCAGGTTGCAGAATGTTCAAGCAGAAAATGCTGGTCGATACATTTGTACAACTGTAAGCCATGCAGGACGAACAAGAGATTATGTAATATTGAATGTTCAAGGTAAAATTGTTTTAATGATAACAGAATCAATAGTTAATGACATTAGAAAAAAACCCAAAAACTCTTTGATAGATTGTTTAGGCATGTTGAAATTTAGTTGAATGGACGGCAACTGCCTGTTGTAGAAACACAAGTGTAGAAGATGATATTTTTTTGAAAGTCTTCTGCCTTTCGTCTTTTTCAGAAGAAAGGTGGAAGACTTTCAAAAAAACGTTGTCTTCTACACTTGTGTTTTTACAACAAGCAGTTGTCGTCCAATCAATTAAATGTAACCAAAACAAAATGTTTTGTATGTACATTCACATACCAGATTAACATAAGTATTACTGCTAGTTATTGCAAAAAATTATTTATGGAGTTTACTAATATCTAATTTGACATTTTTACCACAATAATTTTTTCAAGTATCTCGGGGCTGAGTCTCAAGCGTTGTTAATTGTTACAACTATCCACTCATTACAACACAGCCTAATTTTATATTCACTCATTTTCTGTAGATGAAATTACACTCACAAAATAGAAAATGAAAATGTGTTATTTTCATGGCACAAGATTTGAGAAAGAAAAATAATAGCACTGAACTAAATAAAAATCAGTATGAGATATATAAATTAGCATGTATATTTCAAATACTAAATTAATTTTAAAATACTTTTAACTAAAACTGTTAATTAAGACTTATTTTTCTTAATGCAAAAACAGATGCCCCTCACAAATTGCATTTAAATTTTTCTTGCAGTTTGTTTTACTAAGGTAAGGCTACAGTTTATTTTCTTAGTTTTAATGTGAAATCTTTTCTAAGTAAAGTATACTTCATAATTAACCATTTCGGCCTGAGTATCCTTTACTATATATGACAAAAGTTTTATTAAACTACTTTTTGTTTATGTTAGACCAATTAGTATAGCATAAAATCATAGCTAATAATCCATATTTCAAGAGTATACAAAGAGTATACAAGCTTTAAGTTCTTAATTTTATAAGGGAATATTAAAAAGCATTCTGAATTTCCCCTATTGTGACACTCATGACATATTTTCTCTAGTCATCTTGTCTTCTCTATTTTTATTTCATTCACCACCCCTTGAAAAAATACGAAATTAAACGTAAATTACTCTCTATAGAAACGTTACTGCACAAATGAACCATAATTTTTATAGCCTTCAATTTTGTTTTGTTACAGAGCTATAAATAAAAGATAACACTCCTTCTGCAACACCTACCTGTCACATCTTTTCTTTCAGGCTTTATTAATATTTCTCTTTTACGTTTAATTACATATTACCTATAACCAATAGAAAATCAGCGTTTTCATCTATCAAATGATGTAGTGTATAACATTGTGTTCTGAACAGATAAACAAAAACTTCATTCAGAATACAAGCTTCATACCCAAGAGAAAGTTAACAACTAGCTTTGATGAAATTGTAAAGACTCTTGTCATATAGCTATATAGAATACAGGATTTCCTGAATATTACAAAATTTACAAGTCCACTTATTTTAGGCCTAATAATAGTTAAGCCTTTATTAAATATGGCAATATTTGACAAAGAAATTAACACTTGTATACACTTTTGCTTTATTTTAGTTAGGACTAAACTTTACCGCACTTATATTACTTGATACTATCAATAAAAAAAAAAATGTCTCCTTTTTGAATGTTATTCATCTACATTCTTTGGTGCATTATTTAATTAAATAA